CTAATAAATATTAAAATGCTGGCAACAAAACTCAACACATATTATACATGCAAATATAACACATGCATTTTATGCATTTATTATTTTTAGTATCTTGAAACTCTCCCGAGCAGCGTTTTGCGCTCAGATAAGATGGCAATGGTCGTAGGGCGCCCACAGTAGGTCGAACACGATACCTACAGGTTAAAGCACATGTTAAAGAAGAAATAAGAAACATGTCAACTGCATCTCTCATTCAAACTTGCTCGCTCCCGCTCTCTCTTCCAGCTCGTCAGTCCTCTCCGCATTGGATAATGGGAAATAGTGCTTCAACAAGTGCACATCGGTTGTACACTTGAAATCCGAGAGGATTGTGGGTAAAAAGTAGTGAACGAATGTAGGGAATGAACTTGTCCACTATATAGGGGCTGGGGAGCAGTTTCGGACACAGCTGTAATAATACAACATAGAAAAAGTAGTCAAAACACATCTAACAGAACATACATTGTTAATTTTTTTCCAACATTAAGGTGCCTATTTTTTAATTAACAAAATGTCAATCTTCATCTTTATACAGAAGATCCAATACAATACAATATTCAAGATACAGTACAATCTTTATATTTATAATGAACCGTCACCTTAAAAATGGTGCTTACGAGCCTTAGCTACAGCAAATGTTGTCATTATGTCCTCCATATCCAAAGAACATCTCAACTCAACCCAACCTTTATTTATAAAGCACTCTCAAAACCATTAACAAAACCATTCAAATGGACCAAAGTGCTGTCCATAAATAATAAATAATACAAAAATTCATGCAAACATAAAATGATGAGACATAACATCAAGAAAAAATATACTGCGTTTCTCAATTACTAATCTCAGTTACGTTATGTAACCATCATTCCTTGAAAGAGGGAACAGAGATGTTATGTCGGCACTGACGTTAGGGGTCTCCCTAAGATGCTAGAGAGGAGGCAACACTTTGAGTGGAGTGAGCTCTCACCCCCAAGGGGCATGGCTCGCCTTGTATCTGCTACCCCAAGGTGATGGCATGCACTAGCCAGTGGACCAACCTCTGTTTGTAGACAGCCTTTCCCTTTTGCTGACCTCCAAAGCAGACAAAGAGCTGGTCAGAGCGTCTAAAGCTCTGGGTGCGTTCCACGTAAATGCGCAAAGTGAGAACGGGGCGCAGCAACATAAGATCTGCCTCCTCCCAGGGCAGTGCTTGCAGGTTCACTACCCGGGACCAGGTAGTGAACCTGCAAGCACTAGGGGAGTAGTGGGAACTTTCGGCAAATAACCAGGCCAGGGTCTCAGGGTAGCATGAGAGTCAGCCAGCCCAAATTCAAGGCACAAATCGATGACCGAAAATGCCTGCAGGTCCCCAATCCTCTTGATAGAAGTGAGCGCAACCAGGAGCACTGTCTTAAATGACAGAAACTTGAGCTCAACTGAGTTAAGCAGCTCAAAGGGAGCTCTCCGTAGTCCTGCAAGGACCACATAGAGATCCCAAGGGGCAGAGGAGGCGCAATCTTGGAGAATTTAATCTCCTCGCGCCTCTCAGGAACCTGATGATTAGGTCGTGCTTCCTTTAGAATCTTCCATCCACTGCATCATGATGCGTCGCAATTGCGGCGACATACACTTTCAAAGTGGAGGAGGGCAGCCTCCACTCCAACTTTTTTAGGAAGGAAAGCACAACGCTGACTGGGCATCTTTTGGCTCGAACAGAACACACCCCACTTCAGAGCATAAGCCTGCCTAGTAGAGAGAACTCTAGCCTGAATTATAGTATCTATCACAGCCTGTTAAAGGCCAGTGAGGTCTACCGCGTCCTGTCCAGAAGCCAGACATGCAGGTTCCAGAGATCAAGACGTGGGTGCCAGACAGTGCCCTGCCCCTGAGAAAGAAGGTCCTTCCTCAGGGGGGATTCTCCAGGATGGGGCTGTCGCAAGGAGCATGAGAACGGAGAACCAGGTTAGGGTGGGCCAATATGGCGCAACCAAGCAGGACCTGCTCCTTGTCCTCCCTGATCTTGCACAAAGTTTGTGCAAGGAGGTTCACTGAGGGAAATGCATACTTGTGCAAACACTGGGGCCAGCTGTGAGTCAGTGCATCCATGCCAAGGGGGGCCACGGTCAGGGAATAGAACAGCTGGCATTGGGAGGATTCCTGGGAGGCGAACAGGTCCACCTTGGCTTCCCCGAATCGACTCCAAATGAGCTGAACCACCTGGAGATGGAGTCTCCATTCTCCCAGAAGGGTAAGCTGTCGTGAAAGCGCATCAGCTGCGTCTGACTCCAAAGGAGGAGATGGCAGGCGAGTTGCGACATGTGATAAGAGTGTACCCCCCTTGATGGTTGACGTATGCAACTGTCACAGTGTTATCCATGTGGATGAACACATGCTTGCCTTGCAGCAGTGGACGAAACCAGCGAAAAGCAAACAGTACTGCTAGCAACTCAAGGCATTTGATATGCAACTGCAGTCGTGGTCCCGTCCAGGAGCCCGAGGCTGCGTGCCCGTTGCATACAGCGCCCCAGCCCATCCCGGAAGCATCTGTTGTGACAACACCATGCCTCGACACTTGCTCCAAGAAAGTCTGGTGTCAGAGTGGTGTGATAGCCACAAGATGTGTGCCTCACCACCATACTCATCTGGGGACTTGATTCTGAACCCAATGCTGAAGCGGTCTCATATGCAACAACCTGAGCAGCATTACTGCCACCGAGGATGCCAACACCAGCAGTGCCATTTTATTAACATATGTTAATATCACACTAACACTGTGTATTTTACACTGTGTCTTAGGAAATATAACATTGCTGTGTACTGATCAAATTATTTCAATGCAGTGATGGCACACTTCTCTCCAGTTATTACATGATTCTTAATCCTAAAATGGTTTTTATTTTGAAAGGGTGTTTATTGTCAATACGTGGATCAAATTTAAATTTTTTGGTGACACCTAAAACAGTTATCTCCTAAAGTGAATCTTCATGTGTTCATTAAGGGTTACTTTACGTCTGAAACATTTTCCACACTGATCACAGGTGAACGGCTTCTGTCCAGTATGAATGTCCATGTGAGTCTTAAGATTTCCTTTCTGTGTAAAGCTCTTCCCACACAGTTTGCAGGTGTGAGGGTTTTCTCCAGTGTGAACTCTCATGTGGGAATCAAGGGATGGTTTATATCTGAAACTCTTTCCACACTGAGAGCATGCGTAAGGCTCCTCTCCAGTGTGAACTCTCATGTGAGTCTTGAAGCTTACTTTATGAGCGAAACGTCTTCCACACTGTTGACATATTAAACAATCCTCTCTTGAGTGAATCCTCATGTGGGAATCAAGGGTGTCTTTATGTGTGAAACTCTTTCCACACTGATCACATGTGAATGGCTTCTCTCCCGTGTGAATTATCATGTGTTTTTTAAGGTGTACCTTTTGAGTGAAACTGTTTCCACACTGTTGGCAGGTGAAACGCTTCTCTCCAGTGTGAATTATTATGTGGCTTTTAAGGTTCCCTTTTTGACTGAAACTCTTTCCACATTGTTGACAGGTGTATGGTTTCTCTCCCGTGTGAATTTTCAGGTGGTCTTCAAGGTTTTGTTTTCGACTGAAACTCTTTCCACACTGATGGCAGGTGCAAAACCTGTAAGATTTTTTCTGGGCTCTCCTTCTTGAGGAAGTCTTTTTGGATTTTTTTCCAGTTATGAAATCATGATGTTCCTCTTTTATGTCATTCAGTTCTTGATTCTCCTCTTTCAGTGGTATCAGGTCTACAGTGGAAAAAAACAAATACACGTTATTCACACACTATAAAGACAGAACTGAATGACAACAGCGAACAAGAGGGAGAATGTGTGCACTGTGTGCTCAGGCGCCGCCGCAGCCGTTCTCGGCGCCATCAAAATAAAAGTCCCGCCTGGAACACATCGGCCAAACAGAAAAACTTATCGGCCGAAGCCGATATTTGAAAAATGGCAGATATCGGCCGATATATCGGGCTTGGCGATATATCGGTCGACCACTAGTTCTTTGTGTGTAAAAGTGTTTATCTGCGTTTTGTTATGGTCAGATATGTACAAGGAAGAGCACAGGAAACGCATCACAGGATGACGGGGTGGGATGTGATGCGTAATAATATTGACATTTTCACCAACAAATCGCCTTTCTGTGTGAGTCATAGCACGAGCACGGAAGAGTAAACACACAGAGACAGCCCAGGGAGCTGCTAAGTTTCATCAGATCGCGTAAATCAGTGGAAAATGAATAGAAATTATGATTCTGTCTGAAGAAATATGAAGTAAACCTGAGTAAATATATCTATATATCTCCATGTATATGCATCTTTGGACTATAAGCCCTTATTGACGCTGATCAGTGAATCTATGTGAACACAAATAAACCGCTGCAGACGTGACTGAATATGAATGCGTCGTGAATTTCTATTCTAGATTTGACATAATACGTATTTATTATTTTGCATTTCTGACATAAATTACTGTCAACAATGCAACAATGTTTTATCAAAACAGTGGTCAAATATCAAAGCTAGAGTCTTTAATCTTCCTACTGATGCACAGTTTGTCCAGATCAAGTAAGAGTGTGATGTTTTAACGTGCTGTTAAAGTGAAACAACAATAATCTGGGGCCGTCGCCGATCTTTGAACGCAAAGGGGTTAAATGAACACTGTTGTGTGGGTTGTATAATCACTAATCAGAGTATTAAAGTAACACTAAAAAAGCGTTGCCGTTAATTAGACTTAATTAAATTAGACTTAGGAATTAAGTTGGAGTCAATTATTACGCCTATGCTATGGTTACCACACCTCAAGACATTGTTCAGATGTTGTATTTCAAGACGATTGTCAGGTTTTTGTCCTTAAAACACACTGTGGAGGAATAACATCTTGCATATCTCATCTCAAGCCTCCTTTGATATCATTGGTTCAGGCCTCAGTTACTAGTTTTAAAATGAGCAGACTAATGCAGTTATTACAAAGAACGTCTTGGTTACATATGTAAACCTTGTTCCCTGAAGGAGGGAACAGAGACGTTATGTCGATACTGATGTATTGGGGTCTCACTTGGGAGCCCAATCACCTCTTTGTAGTACAAGAAACGGCCAATGAAATTTGGCGAGCGGAATATACATGCCAAGCCACTTCCCATACATACAGATATGTGAGATGGCGGCATGCATCCACTCATTCAGGTTTATGCTGAGGAGCTGAGAACACATCACGGCATTTCAGTGGTAGTTCATGGTTGTGGCAAGAGTGATGTAATGTCTCCGTTCCCTCCTTCAGGCAACGAGAGTTACATTCATAACGGAGACATTCCCTTTCAGTCAGTCACCTTTAAGGTCACATTGATACAGACGTATTGTGGTCCCTATGGAAAGCACCACAACCATTGAACTATGTTACGAGATTTGGTAATGCAGGTGGTGGTAAGCGTAAACGTGCCTAGACAGATGCAGTCGCAAGCCGTAACCTTCCCAATGCTCTAAGTAAGCCATAATCCTTCGCACCTACTTAGAGGGGTTGAAAAGACTCTCTGAGGGGAAGGTCATTTGGTGTTCCTTCTTTATCTTACCTTTTATTTATTTATTTATTTTGTTTAATGAAAACTTTCTCAGTAACGACAACATGTTGAGGAAGCTGCGGAGCCACATCCTACCCATAGGGAAGTGACGTGGAGGATGCACATGTGGACTGACCTAGGGCAATACAACATATGGAAGAACCACTGCGGTAGTTCCTAAACAGACATGGAACAACTAACAATGCAAGGTCAGACAGAAGACATTCTGTCAAGGGAAAGACACAGGTTTTCCAAAAGGGATGAATGGACTATGGGAAAATACACATACAGGATTACTCGAAGGGGATCTCATGTATTCAGCACCTAACCCAGTACAAGGGCTGACTGGACTGCCATGCAACATGAGTACTGAGCCTGGTGTCAGCTTGATCGACGCAGGGTGCTGGAGGAACTCAGCCAGGGTTCACCGCCTGGGGAACTCTCTTGAACAGCAGAAAAGGTCCTTCCTCAGGGGGATTCTCCAGGGAGGGGCTCACTGGGGGGAATCTGTACTTACACAGACCCCAAGGCCAGCTGTGTGCCAGTGCATCCGTGCTGAGGGGGGCCTCGGTCAGAGAATAAAACCGCTGACAATAGGAGGACTCTTAGGAGGCAAACGGGTCTACCTCAGCTTCCCCAAATCAATGCGATGTGAGCGTACACCACCTTGATGGTTGATGTATGCAACCATCACAGTGATGTCTGTCCGGATGATGTGTTGTCTTGCCCTGAAGCAGCAGCCAGAAATCGAGTAGGGCAAGCAGTACCACTAGCAACTTGAGGCAATTGATATGCCACTGCAGTTGAGGTCCTGTACAGGAGCCAGAGGCAGCGTGACTGTTACATACAGCGCCCCAGCCCAATCTGGAGGCATCTATTGTGACAACAACATGCCTCGACACTTGCTCTAAGGGCACTCCTGCCTGTAGAAAAGCAAGGTCTGACCAAGGGCTAAATAAGCGGCAACAGATTGGCGTAATGCTCACCCAATGTGTGCCAACCTGTAAGTTCATCTGCTTCAAGAACATCAAGTAAAGTCGAGCTATATTTTCATTCCGCTACATGTGGGGACATACAGTGGAACGAAATGTCATACCTCACAGGACCACGGTGCTACATAAATACAGACATACAACAATGGAGTAAAATGTTACCACCTCTCTGTGTAATGTAGTTTTTAAGTTACTTTATTAATAAAATCATCAGAGCAGCGCTGACTACACATTTCTGTGAGTGTGCAAGTATGTGTCTGTACTGCATGTGTTTGTATAGGAGAGAGAGCGAGAGAGTATGTGCTTTCTGTACATAATTTTGCATGTAATTTTGTGGCAAAAACATGGAAATAGTTTGACATTTTTTGACATTTTTATCTTATTGTTTACTACATTTGCTTGGTTAGCATCATTGTGTTTTTTTTTTGTGGCTGTTTTAGGCTGTAAGGTCCTTTGAAATAACTGAAAACATTTGGTGAAGTGATGTGGAGGTACCTAAAAGCTGTCTAAGACAACAGAAGAACACATTGTTTCACGCGCACACTGTAGACTTGCGTGGCATAAAATAAGGCTTGCGTAGCATATAACGATTACAGTAACTTGGGACGATGTCAAATAAGAGTTCTGTGCGGACCACAAACACCCCGACTGGGTTAGAGGTGTGGCTGAATCCGTGTTCAGAAAGGCGCGGAAAACAAATAACGCGTTCTACGGAGGCACCAAAGGGACATGGGTTACCCGCTTGCTAACGGTAGCCTGTTACATTACAGTACATAAGATTTCACTTACCACATAAACAGAGTAAGGAGAGATGACTGATAGGATGATGGCGAATGATTTGCAGATCCTGAGCAGCACTGACAAAACATCTAATCTTGTAAAATGTGTGGTAAGTACTGTCGAGTGCTGCTCTGTACGTGTGATCGCGAATCTCGAAAGTGAAAGTAAAAAACAAGCGTGCGTTCAAAAGCGATTTCAATGCCCCGCATAATAATAACGGCTCCCTGATGCCCGCAGTTTATATACAGTATAATTAATTATTATGGGTGTTTGTGCGTGCATGCGGGGGAAGGGTGCGATTTTCGAATATTATTTTTGCTTGGAATGCCCATCCCTACTTAGAACATCATCAACCAATCAGAATCAATCATTTAACAGTAGTATAAGTCATAATAACGAATGCCTTGTACATTGTAAGTAGGATTTTCTCAGGTTCACTTGAAGGCAGCATTAGTATCTCACGTCTCATCATGTCTGTCCACATGAGGCGACTCGCTCCATGTCAAATAAAACCGCTATAATTACGACACTCTTCAAATATCACTCGTTTCTTAAGTGTTGGACATTTTAATAAGGATCAAATGAGTGAGTTCAGCTTTGAGAATGAAAACCAACCTTTTTGTTCCTCAGTATCTTCATGTTTGACTCTGAATGTTTCTTCAATCTTCATGTCTTCACTCTCCTCTTTAATAAACGCCATCTTTATAATAGTGTGTCTCTCAGTCGCTTCAGCAGGAGTTTTTCTGTGTGTTTGGACACTTTGTCCTGTTTAAAATGAGAAAAATTAACAGCAAATAAAATAAACCCAAACTAGATCTCTGAGGCGTCTCAATCAGCTCCCTAGTTCAGTAGTCAGCACACTAGTTAGGGAGTCAGTCAGAGTGAGAGTTAATGGCCTGATTAGCTAATAAACACTGAAAACTATCACTATTAATGAATGAAAGAACACAAAATACACAGACACTTAATACTTAGTTATGATTAATAATTTGTATGTTTTCAGAGTTTGCTAATTTGATATTGATTTTATACACCGCTGATTCGAACGAGTAAACTGAATCATTTAGCGAGCGATTCAAGTGAATCGTTTGGCGAATCAACTGATTCGGAGTTTCAGAAGGCTCCGTTTCTCTATCACAACTTGCCACTGAACAAATTCGTGTTCATGATGAACTGATTGTGAGACGTAGCTTTTATGTTGCTTGTGTGCGGATGCGCTTTATATCACACAAAATATCCTTCATGAATGTTGCATAAAGCGTTATAATATTACACTCAAGAATACTTCATCCGCTTTATAGTTCTTATAAAAGTTATACACATGTCTGCATCGACTTAAACACTTTAAATGTTTAAAAACACAAACCTTTCCTCAGCCGAATCACAACAGATGCAGGAGCGCGGCGCAGCCTTATGACGTCACAGCGGCAGACCAAAATAAAAGTCCTGTTCACTCGCTAAAAGTGCATAGAAATTCACACATAATGAAACACGTCAGCTGTATTCAGAGTTGAATTCTTGGTGAAATATATATTTAAATGCATGTTGTCCAATGATGTACTGAAAGGAGCTGCCAGTGAAAGAGTGTGTAGCACATAGACGGTTTAGACAGAATCTCACATATTATGTTTTTGTTTTGTAAAAGAGCTTTATCAAGATTTGATATTGTACTATTATACAATAATCGAGGTTTGACAATGGAATGAAAGCTTTAGGACCACACTTAAACACACACAAATGCAACAATCAACATTCTGCAGTATGTCAACAAACACAAACTGTGTGTGAGGCTCAGTCTCTCTTAACCCTTGTGCGCTCCTCGTTTGGGAGTCACACTCATGGTCTTTGTATTAAAATAGAGACTAGGCCTTTAAAATCCAGCACCTCCTGGTGAGAGCAAAGCAAGAAAAACATGTAATTTCATGGTGTAACCACTAGATGCCTGTATAGGAATCTATAGAGAGGCTTGTGAGTTCCCTCGTTGTTTTTAGACATAATATACATTTAAATTCACAACCTAATAAAAGTAAACAATTAAGGCATTCTCAAAGACTACTATTTGTCCAGGTTTATATATATTTTTTTGTTTTAAATGTTGATTTGAAGCGTCAGTTTTTGCATTATTATTACTACAGTCAAACGTCTGCTTCGTGGGGGATTTGTAGATTGTGCACACAAAAATTCTCTGAATTTTGTCCATTTCCCATTCATTTCCTATGGTCGGTCATTTTTGACCGAAGACCATGAGTGTGACTATTTAAAGCACTTAGCCTGTTCGAATCATGCCCTAAATTTTTGTGTGTGTTCACATACCAAGTGCCATAAAAGTCACCAAGTTTCGTACCATTCCGATGAAGCTACGACTTTTAAATGTTCAAAATGGAACATTCTTAGACCGCTCACAAGGGTTAAGGAAACCATTATTGTTAATGTTCAGATTGTTATGAAATAATAAATGGTAATGATTTCACCATTTTAATGTGATTATTTCATATTTCGTAGAGAAACCAGATGAAATGATTGTGACTCAGCAAAACTGTCCTGTCTTGCACTCTATTTGTTCATTTCAGGCTTCTCTTATGAGATACTAAGGGGTTTTATAGGTTATTTTTTGTATGCGTGCAGTAATATTGCAATGAAATGTGTGCAGTAATGTAGGCTTTAACAGGAGACGAGTGGAAGCGCTGGAGGCAGACAAAAGAAGTTTGAATGATTGCATGCGACATTGATTTTATTAAAAAAGTACAATAAACTAATTTCAGACTCAATATTATCTGTTTTGCTCAATTTCTCAAACGAAATAGTTCCAATCAAAGCCTCAGCAGAACTGAATGAATCAAGGGAGTCAGTGATTCGATCAGAAGATTCAAGTTCATGCACAGCTCTAAGGTCTGAAGAGACTCGTGTGACACCGACGAGGAGCAGCCGGTACAGTAGAGGACAGGGAGGAGCGCAGAAAACAGGACAAAACATACAACAAAAACTACAACTCCCAGCAGGCCGTTGGGTCACTGGCGGCACATCAATGAATGACACACACCATGATTATAAAACACAAATTCATACGTCCTGGGACGTAACAGTTGTCTCTCACATTTGTTGTTATATATGTTTTTTAAACTTTGATAAAGAACAAACGTATGCCATGCGTGAAGGGAGTATAGTTCACTTTTATGAAAATTGGCTTGTGTTTCTGTTCATTTGTAGGTCATACTGGATAAATGCATTAGCTGAATAAACGTAAAAGTAAGTTATTTTTCTATGGGGAGAATGTGAAGAGCTTTATTCATTCATTCTGATTTTTTGCATGTGGACTTTCCAGGATTCCTCCTCTTGGGATTCCCAGTCCAGCCGAACCTGGAAATATTGCATCCGGTGAATAACACAACCACATCTGTCCCAGAGTCACACACATGCAGTGAAATCCTTCGACCACCACAGCACAATACTTTCACTGAATTTAAGTCCTGGATGGAGTCTGCGATTCCTCAGTCCCCAACTTTTGGAGTGGCCTAAATTCTCTGCTACTGCTTTTAGACATTTGTTTCTTTGACGTTCACAAAATGTATTGGCATTTCAATGTAACTCTAAAAATCTAATTCACTTTTTAGGGGGAATTTGATCTAAACATGGAAAAAAACAAAACATCAACTTTCAGAGGAACTCTGCTACTGTGTTTAGTAATGTATTCATTTAGACATTAACAACATTTTGAGCAAATACTTGGTAGCTTATTCACATAAGATGTTCATGAAATATAATTAAAGAAAGTTTGAAATGTATTTCTCAGGAGTGTCCAAACCTGCTCCTGGAGGGCCGCTGTCCTGCAGAGTTTATCTCCAGCCCTAATGAAACACAGCTCAACCAGCTAATCAAGCTCTTACTATATCACTAGAATCTTCCAGGCAAGTGAAGGAATGTTGAGTTGCTTCATTGAAAGCTTATTGTATTACTGTATTAAAAGCTCTCTGTATGATGCGAGAGAGATGGACTGAGCGAGTGTGATTACCTGCATCTGATACAGCATTCATTCTTCAGCTCAATCTCATATATAAAACATTAGTTTGAATGTTCGCTGAGGAAAGCGATATCTTTGTCGTACTGTCTTTTCATCTGTTAAGGGTGATGTTATTAACTGTTATTAAAAGTAAAAATAACTTCCTTGTTTACAACAGCATTTCACAGTCTGTTTCAATATAAAAGTCTTTACTGGTGACTCACTCAGAAAAACAGTCCCTTGTCGTCATCTAATGGAGGAATAATGTAACTGAAATCACCATCACGAACATACACACTGTTTCCCATTACTAAATACTATTATTAAATACCACTATTATTTATTTAAAAATTATTTATTGAATAATGATATTCCGGCCCAAATCCAAGTGTGACGTCGCAAGCCACGCCCATGTCCAAATACATCACATTCTCATTCATTTTGAAACAGAACCATCAATAAGAAGATAAGTCTAATTGTTTGCCAACTGCTAAAAAGAAGAAGTTGTTGTTGTTTTCCGTGTCAGTAAGTAAACAGAAAAATAATAATAAAATCTTTGGTCTTTACCAAGACTTAAAACGTTTAGCAATGAATAGGTTCTTTTCACTGCCATTAAAGTGAAATAACTGAACATAAATGTAGGAGCCTGAGAAAAATGCTAATTTTAGAAGAAAATTTCAGATGGCAAATGGCACTTGGATGCTTTTGCGTATGAACTCTACATATATATATATATATATATATATACACACACACAGTGCACTGATTCTTATGACATAAAATTAATGCTGAATGAACTTTTTATATACTTTGCCCCCCTCACATAACACTCATCTCACCCACTCACACACACACACACACACACACACACGGGCTCCAGTCGGACTCGGCCACGACGGACAGTAATTCTGATAATCTGTCGGATAAGGGCCGGACTAGGGCATATGTTTGAGGCCCGTGCAGGGTTCTGCTGAGCTTATTTGGTAGCAAACTCAATTTGGTACTGGCAAGGTGGCTTTATATACGCACGAGCGCACTTTGGATGTGACTGCGCACCGCCTCTGGAGCGCGCGAGTACCGAATGGCTTAAAAAGACGTGCAAATAAATAATAAAATTTTCTGACGATGCAACAATGACCCGATTAGGCAAGTGACAATTCTGTCAACTGTCCCGAAATGCGAGTGAAAGTCTTGTATCGCAGCGTGCAGCGGCTCTTGTAGCGCAGACAAGATGCGCCGATGTGAAGCCGTTTGAAGAGAAAGTCAAAGAGAGAAGACGCGTACAGCTGAATCACTCACGCTGTTTTCAAATGACTGATTTGATCAGTCTGTGTGGACTGGACTCAGTCTGTAGGTTTGATTATTTACTCATCAAACCTACATGCTATAGGCTATTGAATAAATGTGTGAATATCCATCATTTTAAAGTCAAAAGCTGCGGGAATGAGTAAAACTATGCGATATAGCCTATGCGCAATCCCGCACCGAACTTCAGGACCTGATTAAACACAATTCTATTATACAGAGTTTTGTGAAATAGATTTCAATTACTTTTCCAAAACTTTCTGGGTTTATTTATTTTTCCAAAACTTTTCCAGGCCTGGAAATTGGTGTTTTAAAATTCCATGACTTTTCCAGGTTTTTCATGACCGTACGAACCCTGAAGAGGCACTGACCGATGAAGTTTCATATCCGGTAAAAGC